TAAGTCGTTATGTAGTGATCTTGGACGCCGTTCTTCATTGCAGAAAGTCGCTTAAGGTGAGTAGGAAATCCAGCCCATTTCCATGAACAATGAATTTCTTTGTTTCAGTGCTTAAATATTGTTTAATGAGTTAAAGAATCACGGCATAATGGTTGTTTAACTGAAATTGAAATGTTTCGGCATTCTTTACTAACATCCATCACTAATAACAAAGCTTAGCCGATAATACTTAACATAAATAATGACACAAACATATTGGTTCCATATGCCTTAAAGCAAAACCGTATGTTTATAACTAGCTACTGTTCTAACACACGTTCAATGTACATACTCGTGAACGTGGAAATATTGACCCTTTGTGAGGGTGCTGCGAAAACGTCTGGCATAAATTAACGTATTTATTCACGTTCTGTCAACCAAAACATGCTGTCCTGTATAAATTGTGATAACGACAGAGTGAAATAAAGGCATTTTGTTCAAACTTTTCACCCCACTGCAAGCTAGTCTGTGCAACAGTCCGTCGGTTAAACCGCCTCCAGTGTTGTGGTGAAGGGAGTCAAGTGTTTTTAACGCAACGCGTGAGAAGTACGCGTACAGAAGGAAAGCACTCTTCAGTAAGCGACTATAGGGAGAACGGGCTAGAGGACGTGTCAGAATTGACAAGTACTACCCCAGCATTTCCCCTTGCCTCAGGCAACGGTCTCACTTCTCTATTTTTCGTGCGCGAGCTCTGTCGTGTATTTTTGGCATCAGTCGCACAATGGGTACGGAATAACAGAGGAGTCAAACTGTCAAATCCGTTTTCGTCAATACCTTGTTAAGAGAAAAGCATATGGAGAGGTACAACCACATTTTCACTTTCAAGCCGAAATGACAGTTTTCACCGATAAACAGCTTAATACAATGATCACTGTTTTGTAAATGAATGAAATGTCAACTTTTCAGAAGCTTTCAAAGTGTTTGGCGAAGGAAAACAAGATTACCTGCGAATAGAAAGTTCTGCTCGCACGCTTGTAGATGCAAGACTTAAGAACGCTTTCAACAAATCTGCTAGCACAAATAAGATGTACGTACTAAATGTATATTATAAGATAAAAAAATCTCCGAATGAACACGTATCTTTCCATCGGCCGGAGTTGTTATCTTTTTCCTCTATGTCGTAATAATGGAAACCATTTGCCCAAAGAGTGTCTTATATTTTTGCGTTAAGATACGCCAGGATTCCTTTCGTTGAAGCTTGAAATACGTTTCAGTCAGCAACTTCCAAATCTAATGTATCGTCCGTCGGAGCTAAAAGAATATATCATTTTCCAGCCGTTCGTAAGCTTACTACCCATGTCGTTCAACAAGTAAAGTATGTGTTTTCTTTTCTGAGATTACTTCAGTGCTTTGTTAAGAGTAATTAAGTTGTTGCTGTTGGCATTCCCATTTTACAAGGTTTCCACTTGTTTTAAATATGGTTAACAGCATTTTGTGTAAGGTCAAATCATTACTAAGAAGGCATGACAGCTTAAATGGAAAATCGGGGACTGAACACAGTCGCTAAGTTGATTAATTTGCTCATTAACCATGTATGGGCATCCTGATAATTTGTTGAAGAACAGGTCACTGGAAACCTCACACGTTAATATAAGTCATTAAACGTCTCACACGCTAATAACGCACTAATTTTAAGCCCTCATTACGTGTTACGCCTTAACTCTTCGCCAGCCCCGGTTATATGACGTTAGTCACCTTACAAGACGCTAATCTCACTCCTTTGGTGCCGAGTGGGTTGAGAACACTTCCAAGGAAATACGTGTATCTGTTCTACAGCTCGTACAGAAGTTGAGCAAATACAAATAGTATTTCCTTCTCGATCAAGAGGCTGGATCAAATTGGCCAAGCTGAACTCCGCAAGGAGAGTACACCTGATCCATTCCCTTGCATTAAAAACAACAGTTAGAATCAAGGTCATGTTTAAGGTTTTATTACTCGACTCATATACTGAAGTAACAGGAAGAACTACCTCGTCCTACTTCCTTCAGTAAAAGTTGCACGTTTATAAACTGGGCTTGTCAGGATGTTATTTTAGACATCTTCCTGTAAATGAATTATTTTATTTTAGCGTAGGTGTTAATTTACTGCTATACTGAGTAATGTTTTATTGAGGGTCGCCCTAGTCAGAAATTCATTAGATATTTAAAGAAACAATACACAGAAATAATCGCAAGATATAGGAGATAAGAGCAAATGATAATTCCAAACACAAAAATAAAAATCTTCACTTATATCTCGAAACTTAAAACTTAAAACTTAAGACTTAAAACTCTTCCCGTATCAAAATTAAAATGTCACGTCAAAACAGTTCTTATTCGTTTACTTTTCGACACATCAAAACATAAAATCAATTATCCCTGACTGAAAAACAACACCACTGTGAACATTTCTGAATGTTTCCTCTGCGCCAATACTTACACGAATAAAAACAAAAAGAGTTTGTGACGTCACACCACCAAGCGCTGCTGACACAAAGAAAACAATTCAGATCACTTAGCTTGTGTGAAGTCGTGATTCATACCTTCTTTGTTCAGAATAATTTATTCAAACGATGCGTAAGGCCATAAACAGTGTAGGAACTGGTAATTGAGGCGTAAAATTGCTCGGTAAATTTCTCGTAAGTACGTGAAGTTCGCTGTCATCTGAACCCGTTAATTGCTTCTCTTTCCGACAGGGCTGTTGGAACCTTGTGTTGCGCAAAATGTCGCAGAGGAAGGAAGCTTTGAGAGAGTTGCTTGAGTGCACCTGGAGACCGGATTTGAAGGTAATGATACTTATAACACACACAGCTGTAGGTCGTCATGCTCTTGGTGACTATCGAGAAACGATAGATAATTTCCTTCGTGTTTTAGGACAATTTGGTTGCTTAAGCATGACCCATGAATAGCAAGTCACGCAGGCTAAGGAGCAATGTTAGATTGTTATTAAGCGACGCTTTTTAATATTTCCGCTCGAACTTATTTTCAAGACGTATTATTGTTCAATTAATGACCGTTTTTACCAACTTTTTCGCGTTGTTATGTGATGGAATGCGCTAGTAAGGTGGGTAATGAAAGTCGCCTACTTAATTGTTGACTGATTATTCATGACAGACCAGTTGCTAGTTCAAATACAACGTATATACGTGGATTGTGACTCTGCGGTTAACTACCAGTCCTTTACGTTCGCTTAACCAACAAACTAGAGACAACAGACGCTCTTAACGAAGAGCTATGAATGAGAACATTTCCATTTCACAAATAACGAAGTCCTTCAGTTGATATTAAATCTATGTCGTAATGTTTAATCTGATGAATACCTGTCGAATCGAGTGTACTGCCTGTTGTTGAGCAAAAGCGTAGTTATTACCTAAGATAAGAGGCACGCAAGATAATCTTTTTACGCTTGGCCAATTTATTTTAATCAAGGTTTGCATAGGGATTATGATACTGGTAATCTTCAACTTTTGTAGCATGGTCATTGCTAATGCCCGTTAGTTTCCATTTGATATGGGATTTGTTTACTGTATGATCAATATGCTTAGATAATCGTCGAACGACTGAATTCCGCGCGTATCATATAAACACACCAGAATGGTTTTACAGGTCATGTTGAGTCGCATTGTCTTTACCTCTGTGCTTGATACAACGGCGAACAATACGAGAAAGGTACAATCTTCTTTTAATTTACTTTCAACGTGCTACGATTCAACGACAATTTTATTATAGGTTTTTATATTTTACAAAAGGAATTTTAACAAGATTGACTTAACTTACCCACTTGATTATGACTTTAACTCGCCTTCCCAGCCGTTATACGTAGTTATCTATGTTCCTTGAGACAGTTTACCAGTCAATAATGACTGAATTTACAAATACCATAATTTGTTATTATTGTTATTACTTCGAAATGACTAAGTGGTATGTGCATCCTTACTGTGTTCACCTCAGTCATTTCACGCCCCCAAAAGCGGTGTATGATATTTGCAGACTGCAGACTACATTTAGCCCTAAATAGCACTCAGGTTAGCCTGTGTTATATGCATGGTTAGCTCTCTCTATACACACCTATCGACCAATGAGAGCGCGCGTAGTAGCTCAGTTATNGTAGTCGGTGTGAGGAAGCATAGAACCTGCACGAACAAAATATTGGATATCATTCTTTGAAAAAGATTCTAGAAACTTGATGTGTATTTCTGATTACATGTCCGGATGTGTAAGTCTTTAGTTTTGTTTTTCATTTATCTTCCTGTGCCAACAGACAAGTTGGAAAACATTTCTAGATTTATTTGCCATTTATTTTTTACTAATTAGCCTTAAATCACCGGCACCGCAGTAACTGTCGGCAAATGTGTAATTAGTGTTCGACACAGTATCAAAAAATCTTAAAGTTACACCCGCAAACTTTGGTTTAGCGCTTATACGGCGCTCCATATATGGAGATGCAGCTGCTTTAAATGCAGCATCTTAGATAAGTTTGCTCAGCAAATTACCAAACTGTGAGTCTTTAATTGCGTCTTATCTTAACTGCACACAATATTAAGGTGGAATATCACAACATCGACAATACGTACAGCACCAATTAAAGACAAGCACTTAAGTCAGTCACTGCATGTCATGTCGACCTCTGTTTTAAGCTTCGACTTCCCTTCAAGTTTGGTAAGTGTCCTCATTTTCAGTGAGATCTTATAACACTTCATGGATTCTTGTCAACTCGAGCGGTTTCGACCGAGAGATTTCTCAGTCGATTACCGTCCCAACAGTTTGATTCTATTTGATGTGCCAGTTTTTCCCCAAAACAACTACAGATTAAGGGTATTTTTTATGAACACGTCTGTCAAAATAGCGAATAACAGTACAGAGCCAAAACTTCACGGCTAAAATTTTACGCATCAGGCCCATTCACGTATCGGGCGCCGTTAATTACACGATACACGAATCCCGCCATTAAGTTAACATTCGACACATACACTCCCTAACTCTCTCGCACAGTTTCAGTTATGCCTAATTCAGTTTCTGTTCAAGTTACTTCAAATCTTAAATGGAAGCCATGAAAACCTTGTGGCATTCACTTTAGGCATGAAATGCGGTGTTATATCGCTTATGATTGATATCTGTACATTGTACCACTAGAAAATAGAATTGATGTTCACCTAGCCATATGTTTCGCGCAATCCCAGTGTGAAGCGCGCCAATATGAAATGGTACGTAAACATGAATGCGCGAATATTTTTCTTGGCTTGTTTTGAATAACACCTGCTGCTTGTACTATTCTTTTTGCACATTTAAATGTTGTCAAATGATTCCGACCTTCTAGGGCATATATTTTTTTTATATTCCAGGCGTCGGATAATTGTGAGTGCAATAAAACGACACACATCCAGAAACAAAATTGGATTTTTTTTTCAACAAAAAAATTCTTAACCCAACACTTCATTAATGCAATAGTTGACCAAATGATATTTGTAGTGTGACTGTTTGACAAACCTCATGGTTTTACTGTCGAACACTATTTGGCTGACTGCTGATTAAAAATAGGACTTTCTTTAAAACTGTCCGAATATATAAACCTCAAATAGCAGCGTGTTTTAACGTTATGTCAGTCAAAATAACCACTCTCAACCATCCTATTGTTTAAATTTAACAATTGTCATTTCAAGGAAAGTTCAAATTGTCTGGCTTTGTTGTCACTGACAGACAAACGTTGTCTTATTTTTGTTTGCTATGGAAGGGGCTTTACCTAGCGAGATCATGGAACATTTCATTTAGCAAAAATGCTCGGAATTTCATTATGACTCACTCTTTCGCACAGTGCGTGATTTTTCTGTTCTGTTTTTTCAATGCAAAGCGAAATTTTACAATCGAATTAGAATGAGAGTTATTAATTATTCAGGCACCCACAACAGATGGTGACGTGTTGTTATAGAGGAGCTGCATAAGGGTCCGTATTTAGGATGCAAAACTAATCACTGTTTGAAAACATTCGCTTCGTTTTCCTAACGTTAATCATACGTCACGTCCCCAACTGCTCTAACATAATCCGTTCAATCTTGACATGTTATCGAAAACGGCGACAACCGCACTCGCAATTTCAGCTTAGGTCGTGTAGCCGGATACGTATCTATCGCACGGTGGATGACGGGTTCTATACAGAAGGGAACACTTTGTCGCATACATGTTTTTAAGATCGCATGAAAGAAGTGTTCCTGTTGGTCAGAACCTAGTTGGTTTCGAGATGGTAAGCGATAAGCAGCTTCAATTCAGTTAGCAAGCTTCTTAATATATTTTCGTTGAAAGGGGTTGCGTCATGCGCCGAATGTTTTTCAATATTATTATACCATCAGGAAGAATTCAGGCTAATATTTAATTCCATGTGGATAAACCTGGGCGCTTGAATTGGGTGAATGCGAGCAGTCATACGCCGAATTTTCACTATCGTTTTTCAGTAATCTCGCAGGTTATCTTTCTGAAACATTTTCTGATTTTAACAGCTTCTCAAATATGCCGTGAAATCAGCTTGAGCCTAACAATACTTAGTTTGTTTCTTTATATACACACACATAAACTTTATTTACTTCTAATATACAGCTCTCGAATTTGTGTTCTTTCAGATCATGGCGGCGTTTAAGAGATGGCGCTCGAAGTACAAGCGCTACAAAAATCAAATTCCCGATCAAATGAGGAATAGAATTATCCTGCACTATGGTCTTTTTAAAATCACTTGGGATTGGGTGATTCTGATACTGGTCCTTTATACAGCCATTGAAGTGCCATTCGTATCTGCGTTTGTGCTGGCACGTGATGACGAAGGAAAACACGCAGGTAAGTATTGATACATGTTCCGCTAAGAATGCTTTTTCTCGTTCTTGAATTTTTCAGCGCGTCTTTTCATAACAACCCTTTACATGGCTTTATCAGTTTCATAAGTAGCTAGATAAATTTTGAGCCTTTAACGTTTGCTAGGTCATTTCAAATTTCGTATTTTTCGTCATGAAATTGACCATTTTAGGTCATTCCATCATCCGGGACTATTGAATTTCTCATGAACATCTGTTGAAAATTTCCAAAAAAAGTCTTAAGTTTGTGAAGTTGTTTGTCAGAGAGCAGTGGAATCTTGTGTACATTGTTTTCTTAGTCAGTTGTCATCACATTTTAAATAGTTTTCAGGTGACACAACCTTTTCACTGATGTAACAGCAAAGTGAATTAACAGATCGACATCGAAAAATATAGTCGTCAGAACATATTCTTAAGTGAGGCAGATTTCCTACGATTATTGTTTGATAAGCAATTTTGTTTGCGTTCATAAACATGTATAATTACGAAATACGCGGTTTTTCAACTGAGTAAAAGGCAGTTCCCAATTAAGAAAAGGTTTTAAAGGTCGTTTTGTCGAATGCACTTCACACCATGTCATTCCACAAGCATTTCACAAGTGTTATCATCACAAATATTTAAACAAGTCATTTTCACTAAGCACCTTTAAAATAACACCCTTAATCCCTTGATATACCCAAACACCAGCTAAACTAAAGGTTTGATAAGGGCTGTGCCACTGATCAGATCACTTATTTTCATGTCTCGCTGTTTGATGCACTGCAAGAGTCGCCTTGTTGATTGGCGGTTTTGTTCCACACAAAGTTGACCTCTTCGGTTATGACTATATTAGGACAAAGAGCTATTTCCCATCATTTAAATTCAGGTAGACAGTGTTTGAATTGTAACTGGGTTGTCATTGCAAAAGGTTCAGGTGGCAGAATGTTTGTTCCCAGTAACGCATCTACCTTTCCACTTTAATCAATGTGTTGACATTGTTGTTAAAACTAACCCGCTTTGGAGGCTTCAGTGAGTCTTCCATAATTCCTTTCATGTACTGTATTTAAAAAAACTCGGTACCAGCCTTGTTCTATTGTTCACATTGTTTGAGCTACCCTTTGTAAAACACTCTTTGAACAGAGTGTGGTCGTTGTCAGGCAATAAAAAACTAAAAGCGAAAACCATTCAGTGGATAAAGTCAAGAAATTGTGATATCATAGACGATAAATAAAGAAGACAGTTCTCCAAGTTTAAGGTGTGTGCGTTGTCCCAGAGTTGAGATTTTCGTCGAAATGTTCCGCGCAAAATCATAGAGCCTCCGCCATGTTGGTGGACCTCCTCAGTCCTCCAATATGGCGGCCGGGAAATAGTGTAAACATCTGTAACTTACTTTGGCTATCTAGTCGACTGATTATCTGAACCGAACCAAAAAACATTTACACAAGCACTTTTCCTAATACTTTAACTCCTAAAATGGTTAAAAATCACGAGATAAGTGTATATTTTTCGACAAACGCGATCTTAGCTTTATGTCACGCACCGCTATAACTCCGAAATTCAAAATACACTGGTTTCCAAAGTTGTCAACAGATTTAAATTTAGTACTTCTTATGCCTGATGAGGATAAAACCTTTAGTGGCTCTTTGATTAGTTTTGGATTTGAGAATTTGGTCGCTGATAAGCATTTTTTTCCTTTTGTCACTGACAGCCTTTTCCAATTTGTACCTGTGTATCTTCTTTAAAACCAAAAATTTATCAAAAGGCATTCGTAGGAATTGAGTAGGTCACTACAGCTCGCACGAGTTTATTTCTTACTAAGCATTCAAATATTTCGCCTTCACTGCATTTAAAGCCTAACATTATGTATGTGCACCTGCTCTGAGGGAGCAGCTTGCCTTAAGTGCCCGGGTATTAACATCAGACAAACTGGCGCTGTTTTTTCAAAACTACGATGAAAATTTCAAGTGAAGACGTCCCGCCAGAAGTCGGTTTGATTTTAGCTCCAACCATGCTGGAATTCAATCAAGAACATATCCAGCCAGGGGAATGTGAAATAGCCAGTTAAAGAGAGTATCGCTTTATTACGAGTTTTGTACATTTTAGCAGGCTGCGCCCGCGGGGAGACTCAAAAAAATACAAATGACAAGTAATAATGATATGCAATACCGCACGCTAAAATTTGGAGACATTTGTAAGAGAATTATGAAGCTAAATACTCTTTGACACTTAAATAAAGTGTCTCATTCATTCATTCAATTTTTGGCAGACCGCGCCCGTGGGGGCGAATCACAAAAACTACAAATGACAAGTAATAATGACATGCGATACAGCACGCTAAAATTTATAGAGATTTATAAGAAAATTACTGTCAAATGTTTTCTGACAATGTATTTCTTGCTTTTTGTTGTACATGTTTAGCGTTATGCGTTCAAGATGATTGAAAGAGCTAACAGGGTTAAACTGCTCTCCTTTGTTCGTCTTAATGTCGACAATGTCCTACATTTGACTGTGCTTCAACGGAGACTATTCATAATCCATAGAACCCCGGGGCTGAGAGGAGGAGGGCAAACTGCAGTATGCTCAAAAAAAATAAAAAAATAAAAAAATAAAAAAAACAGGGACTATTTCCCCTAAAAAGCTCACTGTGGTTATTATTACCACATTAGGTAAAAAAAAGATTGCCTGAAATGGTGCAAAAATTTAAGAACCTCAAAAGCAAAAATCAGCTCAATGTTTTTGCTACATCGAGGAGTTCGTGTTAAAGAACTTAAAGAAAAATAATCTATTGGCGAATAATAAATTTGTCAGCCATTTATCTTACAAAATTCGGACCTCTTTAGGAACCAATCATGGATAAATTTATGATAATTACGTAATAATATATTTCACGATTAGACTGTGATCATTGATTGCGTCGCATCTTTTCTCCACAGCAGAAGATGCCTCTCTAGATTTTTTCGAAACGTTAAGACGTCGCTACCCCGAGGCCTACCCTCTACTGTACACCGACCTCATCATAGACTTTCTTTTCATGATTGATATTCTGATGAATTTCCGTACCACGTACGTGAAGGAAGGCGAAGTTCTCATCACCGGTCCCTGGAAGATAGCCGTCCATTATTTAAAGACGTACTTTGTGGTAGATTTTGTAGCTGCTATTCCTTGGGATCTGCTAGCCAGCTTCAACTCTGGAACGGAAGAGGTTAGTGCCGTGCGTGAATTTTGAGTTTCACGTCGAAATAGATCTTGCGCAAATTTCTTTGATGCCAACTTTCGCTTATCAGCTCGTTGGAGAGTCTGATATTGTCCAAAGTTTCATTTCTTGGCTCTTCAAAATGTTGAAGTGTTGTCTTTTATAGTGGTCTATGCGCTTAGCTACACCTAGCTAGTTCACAGGCATGCCACTTAAACGAAAGAAACAAATATATCAACTTAACATAACAGGCTTAAAAATACGAGCTGGCGGGAGGCAGACCAGTTGGCTATTTACAAGCATGACCGAGGAGTTGAACTAGAGTCTACTAAGAAACAACTCCAGCTTAGTAGTCAGAGCAGGACTTGAACCTGCGATCTCTCCGGATTTCAAGTCCGGTGCCTTAGCCACTCGGCCGCGCTGCCTCCTTGGCTCTCGCTTTCTTTTGATCCCAACGTTCAACACTGATCTTTAAGATTCTTGCTATTATACCATCTGTCTCTTTATTTTTCCAGAACACCATGTTATTTAGTCTTCTCAAGACTGCTCGCTTATTACGACTCTTCCGCGCCGCGCGGAAACTGGATCGAAACTACGAGTACATGACGTCACTGTTGTTCTTGATGATCATGTTTTTTATGCTGGTAGCTCATTGGCTGGCTTGTATCTGGTATGCAATCGGCGCAAAAGAAGCCGTGGAATACGATGGTTTATCCTGGCTTAGTATTTTGGGTTATCAGATGGAATTGCCCATTATGGAGGGTGAGGCAACCAGCGGGCCCACCCTCCGGACGAGGTACCTTACGTCCCTTTACTACGTCATGACTCTGTGTACGACTGTAGGTTTTGGAAATGTTTCAGCCAATACAGACGGCGAGAGGATTTTCTCCATATGCTGTATGCTGATGGGAGGTAATTTCCATCGTTTGTTCTTTTTAAATGTGCCCTTTTACATTTCCCGTTCTCCAAATTTGCTCGCAACAATTTACAAGATGACAACACGACAGGGGGCTGAAAATATATAGGAGGCAAAGTTAACGATCAGTTTATCCTCAAGCTTTCGAACTAGTGAGATAAAGGAATAAGGACGGATTTCAAACATTTGGGCTGTTTTTATTTTTAAGGTGCACCATCTTCATCTTAGCCATTTTGCAATGAACTGCGATGACATAATTCAGGTTTATAGCACACGTGAAAGTTATTATATCCATCAACATAATGGCGGCAGGTTTTGAAACATTTCGTTCCTTTTAAGTTAACGAGAATCGTTTGCTTTGCAGCTGTGATGCACGCCGCTATATTTGGAAACGTAACAGCAATCATTCACGGGCAGTACTCAAGTAACTTCCGTTACCGCAAGGAATCTCTTCAGATTAACGAATTCGTTCGTTATTTTAAGATCAAGAATCCGCTGGCCAGGAGGCTCAGGGATTACTCTCGCCACACTTGGTCCCAAACGAAAGGAACGGATATGGCCAAGGTTTGTATTATGTGATCATACGGGTTGTCTTCGTCCATGGTTAATGATGCAAAGTGACTACAGAACGAGATCAACTTCTTCGCGGCCAATCAGAACGAATATGTAAACAGCAAAACGTTGAAACAAGTACAGTGTTCAATGGCTTTCATTTAAATTGTCGTGACAAACTGGCGTTGTAAGGTAGAACCACTTTGTACTGCGCTGTAAAAGTACTGCTTACTTATGTTTAATGTCTTCTTTAAAAAAATTATAGTAAAGGATGCATCTACAGACATTAATGTTAAGCAAATCGCAAGGAGTCTTTAGATTTTTATACTTTGTTGTTATAATGTAAGAAGGACATGGTTACAACGTCTGTTCATATTTGTGGCATGGTAACGTCGTTGCTAAGGGTTCACTTGGCCTTATGTATCGCAGGTATTAATTGGCCACGTGCAACCGACTCGACTAATGGTTTATTTCATTGCAGGTTCTCAAAAAGTTTCCAGATGGTCTTCAGTATGAAATTCATCTTCACATGCACCTGACCGTTCTCTCAGACTCATTTCTCTTCCACGATTTTGACGACAGCTGCTTGAAAGCGTTATCAAAGACCATGCATCGCCATCATCATCTGCCAGGACACCAGATCCTACACGAGGGTGATGATATTGATTCTGTACATCTCGTGAGACGAGGAAAAATAGACATCATGATGTTCAATGAGCCGCGTGGGAAAATAAGTAAGTTTTCACACCATGATTTTCTTCAGCTAATACATTTCATAATTCTGTACCTGATCATGACAAACAAATAAGCATATCTGGTTAGATTTTAAAGAGGGTATCGCTGTATTACGAGTCTTGTATATTTTGACGGGGCGACTTGAAAAATACAAATGACAAGTAATGATGATATGCGATACCGCACGCTAAAATTCGTAGAGATGACATAATAAAGATTGATAAAGATTGCCGTTGTTGTTATTGTTGTAGAGATTCAAAGATTAATAAAGATTTAAAGCTTATAAAGATTGTTGTTGTTGTTTTTGTTGTAGAGATTTATAAGCCAGAGAATTAATGTCAAACGTTATCTCACAATGTATTTCTAGCGTTTTATTGTACATGTTTAGCGTCATGCGTTCAAGATGAAGGGTTAAACTGCTCTCCTTTGCTCGTCTAAATGTCGTACACTTAAACTAACAGGGAAATTCCGTTGGTAACACTGGAGTTCACATCTCTTTCCACAAATTTTTTAACGGTCTTAAAGTAACTTTTATCCTCTTTTCGTAGGAGAAGGAGATGCCTATGGTGCCAGTTTGAGGCAAATCTCGTCTCGACCGCGGGCGGTTGTGAGCCTGCGAGCCTCCACTTGTGTGGACTGTCACGTGATCAAGCTAAAAGATCTGGAAGATGTCATGACATCATATCCTAATCTGCGCGCGCAGCTGCTAAGCATGATGGACGCCGCTGATCAGAATGATCTGTATGAGGAGGTAACTTGTTTCTGCTTTTCTATTCGATTGCTGTAACATTCTACCATCGCATTCCCCAGCTAAAGAGATTATCTTCTAAAAATTTCACGTATGTATTACTGCAGATGTATTGGCCGATTTCATTGTAACTCGCACAATTACGGGCAGTGATTCTTAAATGGAATCAAATTCCTTTTTTGTGACATTGGACCATAGACTTTCCTCTATTAACTATGATAGGACCAATGTTAACACGACGTCCCAAGCAATGCTTCTGAAGTAGAACTCTCCAGCGTTAATTTAATGTTTAATGTTTAGCAGCATTGCGCTTACTCATATACTCGCTGGTTCTTGACATCTGCTGCAGCACCACTTTCTCAAAGTAAAGCTTTTCCCGTTTCCTCCTCACAGGGTGTTACACATGGCAATGGGAACGGAGATGGTTATGATCCCGACAAGAATGGCTCAGGATTCCACGTTAAACTTGGGGCAAACCGGAAACACCAGTGTACACACAAGAAAAACCGGTTAATTGTGGACCATGAGTATGAAATGAAGCCAATGCTTGGTGTTCGCAGCAGTAAATTATTAGAACAAAAACCGTCACATAGCTCCAAAGAAAAACTCGGAAACGGAGATCTGAATAAATATAAGAGTGTTTCCATGGAAGATAACTCATCCGGTGAACTGAATGGACGTTTTATTAACGTAACGCAGTTAGCTGATATTGAAATTGAATCTCCTGATGATGTTAATGAAAATTTTAGAACTACTGAGGAGGTTGTTAAAAGGGACGATGTTTGTGATGAGGACTTTGCAGAAGAAGCTCCACAGCACATGATAGATACGGCCAAGTCGACTTGCTCTCATTGTCAGACTGAATTTAGACCCTCAGAAAACGCGGACTTTGAGGAACGTTTTCAAGAAATGGCTTCTAATATGCAGAGACTGGAAAGCAGGATGGAGACTCTTATATCTCTTCTAGAAAGAAGTGAAAGTGGCAAGACACCACTGAAAGAGGCAGCAAGCGCCGGGAGGGAAAGAATGACGTCAGTCTGAGGCTTTTATTATGAATATGAACTTCACATGGTGTCCAGTATTTAATTCTTTACCACTTCACTGGATGACTGAGGCAAGTGGTGAAGCTGTCCTTTAGACCAAATTTTTCAAGGATATTTACAGAGACTTTTAAACCAAAGCTGCCACAAATGAGATATATTTTAATATTACAAGGAAATGCAAATTAGAGGGGAAAAAACCCGCACAAGCAGTGCGAAATGTTTTTTTCGTAAACTTGCTCGCAAATTATGCTCGCAACGAGCATAATTTAAAAAGGAACCTAAGACCGTTTTTCCGGATCACATTATTCACCAGCCTTTATGTAAGTAATAGTAACGAAGGTCAATCTTTTTGTCCGCACTGAAATATCTGCTCAATAATGTTCACATACACAATCGAAATAACTGGGTTTTTAAAAAAACCTACGCCATGCACTTTCAGAACGACAAATAGCAGAGGAAATTTCGATGTTTTTGTCATTTGAAAAAAAGGAGAACAGGTGTTTGACGATTAAATATCTCAGAAGTCTCATACTTCTTACGCTTTACTACTATACTGAGCTATTCCGAACACATTTTCTAAACTTGCATTGAATTATTCTAATTTCCGTGGTTTCAAATTGGAAATTGAACAAAATTCATTCCCAAGCAATGCTCCAATTCTTGCTTTTGTAGTTCATACTCGTTATCAACTCATTTTATGATTCAGTTGAAAACTATAACAGAGATACAGCAAGTATCTGAAAACAGACTAAAAGTATTTCTGATGACCAGAAGCAAAATGGGTTATTCTAAAATTAATTTGCTTCAAATTACATTTAAAACTGACCCCCTACCAAAACGGAGTGGTTGATCTCAATCAATACAAATTGGTATCTCTGAAGAGATCATCTATTTTCGAAGCACCACGTTTTGCTAAAGAATTAATATAGCGGTCGTTCTTAAGACCTTTTTCCTGCGAAATTGGAATATAACCCTTAGATAACTTCACCATTATTTGCTAAGGGAAACATAATTTCTTACTGCGAAATGAGAGTTTTCATATCAATTTGTAGCCGTTTTTAAAAGGAATTACTACTTTGTAGATTTTGTAAATATTAATTTTTATACCGTTGTAATGTTTTTTGGAAATATCTGTGGACCAATGACTATTTATTACCACAGTCAGGAAAGTTTTATTGTAATATCTTCCGATAAATATGTGAAATAAACATTGTGTTGAATAAGTGGTGTGTTGCTTTTCCAGATGTTTAAATGGCTTCACTGGTCAAGTTGTTAACCAATTAATAATTAAGCGTAACGCCCCGAGTGAAAGCAAACAAAATTACTGCAGTTTTGAGCACACGTGTTAACTTACAAACGTCCAAGTGTGCACATGGCAGAGTACGTTCTATTACTGTGTATGCGCTTGCGTGTTCCGCGTTTTTTTGGAATCTCACCGGTACCCGCGGACGCCCGAGAGCGGTGTCGCACTTGACCCGCAGTTTTACCGTTGTTGTACCGCCGTCACGCGGTTGTTTCACGGGTAGGGGAGGGACTGTATTGGAAACCTTTCAAGTAGGACATCACTAGAGTTTCTTCTGCTCTGTGTCCTTGATGTAAATATGCTGGAAGACTTGATTTGTATTCCTCCAATCCTCGCCACGCATTTTGATATTTTTGATGATATAACGCCTATCAAGAAGTCCCTAAGTAGTATTCTAAGGTGTGCAATTCTCAGCGCTGAAAAAAAATGTATAAGAAAATTATCAGACCTAAGTTAGGAGAACTTGAGAATCCTCTCGGTGAAACACTTAATACAACGCTGATATTCTCGTTCGATTTAATGTCGTTTATTGAAGCTCGGTTATCTTGGAAAATAAGAATGCCGGAATTGAGAAGCGGAATATTCCGAATAACCGGAATTAATTATTTAAGAAATATTACAATCGAACCTCCCCTAATGGCATCCTCTCCACAACGGCTACGACCATTAAAGGATAGTTCTAGTTCGCGCATCTTTCTTGTCCCCAGAAGCCGCGGTCTTCTTGGTCAGCACCAAGAATCGCGACCTCTGGCCTAGTCCAACACCGAAAGTCCGCGATTCGCGAACTTCCCGTCGCTCTGCGCGTGTTCAGAGTCAAGTCTGACAAATCTGATTGGCTGAGAATACGAAACGATTACTCTGCGCATAATCAGAAAATTGGACCTTCCCAGAGATCGTGATTCGTGGTGCTGACCAAAAGAAGCACGGCCTCTGAGGACGAGAATGGTACGTGCATCCAAATAAATAGTGCCATGAGTAGTTATTTAATTACATCACGGGGTCCTCTTCATTGTCATGTTTGAATTTTTTCTTTTTCAGCTTGCTCGTTAATATTCTTACATATTTTTAAAGAGAAAGTGTTCTCTTCACCGTACCTTGCCTTATGTTTGTTTATTAATTAACTGATTTATATTTAAATAATTCATTATTTTTGATCATTCGAAGATTCCGGGTGTTCTGAGTAGTCGGGTTCCGTTTCCAAATTCCCTCATTCCTTATTTTCCAAACTACCTCTGACAAAAGGAGATCCGATGTATGT